GGGGAGCTTGGGGGGTGTGTGTGTTTGTTTGAGCTTTGGAGTGTGTGTGTTTGAGCTTCAGAGTGTGTGGTGTGTGAGCTTTGGGGGGTGTGTGTGTATATGTTTGAGCTTTGGGGGGTGGGTGTGTAAATGTTTGGGCTTTGAGTTATGCGTGTGTGTGTTTGAGCTTTGGGGTGTTTTTTGAGCTTTGGGGTGTGTGTGTATATGTTTGAGCTTTGGGGTGTGTGTGTATATGTTTGAGCTTTGGGGGTGTGTGTATATGTTTGAGCTTTGGGGTATGTGTGGTGTTTGAGCTTTGGGGTATGGGGTTTGAGGGGGGGTATGTGCGTGTTGTGGGGGGGGTGTGTGTTTTGTTTGAGCTGGGGAGTGTGTGTGTTTGAGCTTCAGAGTGTGTGCGTGTGTGAGCTTTGGGGTGTGTGTGTATATGTTTGAGCTTTGGGGGGGGGGTGTGTAAATGTTTGAGCTTTGAGTTATGTGTGTGTGTTTGAGCTTTGGGGTGTTTTTGAGCTTTGGGGGTGTGTGTGTGTATATGTTTGAGCTTTGGGGTGTGTGTGTATATGTTTGAGCTTTGGGGGTGTGTGTATGTTTGAGCTTTGGGGTATGTGCGTGTTTGAGCTTTGGGGTATGTGGGTGTTTGAGCTTTGGGGTGTGGTGTTTGAGCTTTGGGGTGTGTGTTGTTTGAGCTTTGGGGTGTGTGTGTGTTTGAGCTTTGGAGTGTGTGTGTTTGAGCTTCAGAGTGTGTGTGTGTTTGAGCTTCAGGGGGGGTGTGTGTGTATATGTTTGAGCTTCAGAGGGTGTGTGTGTTTGAGCTTTGGGGTGTGTGTGTATATGTTTGAAGCTTTGGGGTATGGGGTGTGTGGCTTTGGGGTGTGTGTGTATATGTTTGAGCTTTGGGAGTTATGGGCGTGTGTGTTTGAGCTTTGGTTATGTGTGTGTTTGAGCTTTGGGGGGGGTGTGTTTTGAGCTTTGGGGTGTGTGCGTGTGTGGGGGAGGTGTGTGTATATGTTTGAGCTTTGAGGTATGCGGGTGTGTTTGACCTTTGGGGTGCACACCCTAATGCAACAGGCTGCACACACCTATGTCTCTGATTAAAACCAATAAACTCTATGCAGTCTCTATTCATGTAAATCATTTGCAATGCCCCTAGTAGGCACAGACCATGTGATCTAGACTGCCTAGGCTTTAGGTCACATGAGGGAGCCTGGGGGCAGCAGTTTTTTTTAATTCAAGGCAACAAAATGGTCCTTTTTTATAACCTCAAAATAGTATTTGATTCGGTAATGCTGGCAAATGCTGTATGGATTCATGCGAAGTATGAATTGTAATGTAGATGCTGCCTGCTTGTAATCTATTGTCTTACTGACTGTAGTAAAGTGTGTACTTACATATCCTTATTCCAATGCAGCATGTTGGAGTCCACCGCCTCCTTCATCTTCTTTTTCTGTGAGCGGGCAGGTAGCATTGCCAGTTACTAGGCAACCAGCTGCGACGCGTTGAAGTGGTGCTGCACGATGGTGGGAGGACAGCACTTTCTGAGTCCTTAAAGAGGCAGCTCCGGCCTTGTTCTGCTGCACCCGCTTCTGTGGTTGCATATCAATGCAGCATGTGTGAGGGGAGATGGATTCGGGAACACAAGGCCATCTTTGGGTGTACATCTGAGAACGGATCTATCCTATGTCAAGACTCTTCACAAGCTGCTGTGGAAGTGTAGTGTCAGGACCAGCTGTCTGGGCATTTATTGTGGTATTGTGGTGCGTTTATTTACAATAAGGATTTGTATTCATCACACACAGAATATCTGACGTATGCAGGTATTCAAGAACTGAACTACTGGATTCACCAAGTCTTTGTATTACAGGGTTAAATATATATATATACAGTTGTGTTCAAAATAATAGCAGTCAGACATCACTAACCTGATCAATCACTGTTTTTGGTAGAAATGATATTTCTACATGGCAAATCATTTACTAGCAGGGGTAGTAGAGTAATAGAAATCCAACAGACCCAACAGTCATGACATGCATACTGCTGATTCTGTGTAATTGAATCACTAATTGAAAGGGGCATGTTCAAAATAATAGCAGTGTGGAGTTCTATTAGTGAGGTCATTAATTCTTTGAAAAACAGGTGGCAATTATTGCCCTTATTTAAGGAAGGAAGGCAGCAAATGTTGTACATGCTGGTTACAGTGCATTTCTCTCTGAAATTCTGAGGAAAATGGGTCATTCCAGACATTGTTCTGAAGAACAGCGTACCTTGATTAAAAAGTTGATTGGAGAGGGGAAAACATATAAAGAAGTGCAGAAAATGATAGGCTGCTCCGCTAAAATGATCGCAAATGCTTTAAAATGGCAACCTAAACGTGAAAAATGTGGAAGAAAGCGAAAAAACTACCATTTGAATGGATAGAAGAATAGCCAAAATGGCAAGGACTCAGCCAACAATCAGCTCCAGGAAGATGAAAGAAGGTGTAAAGTTACCTGTGAGTACTGTTACAATTAGAAGACACCTATGTGAAGCCAAGCTATCTGCAAGAAGCCCCCGCAAAGTCCCACTGTTGAAAAAAAAGACGTGCTGAAGAGGTAACAATTTGCCAAAGAGCACATTGACTGGCATAGAAAAATGGCGCAACATTTTGTGGACTGATGAAAGTAAGATTGTTCTTTTTGGGTCTAGTGGCCGGAGACAGTTTGTCAGACGACCCCCAAACACTGAATTCAAGCCACAGTACACTGTGAAGACAGTGAAGCATGGTTGTGCAAGCATCATGATATGGGGATGTTTCTCATACTACGGTGTTGGGCCTATTTATCGCATACCAGGGATCATGGATCAGTTTGAATACATCAGAATACTTGAAGAGGTCATGCTGCCTTTTGCTGAAGAGGAAATGTCCTTGAAATGGGTGTTCCAACAAGACAACGACCCCAAACACACCAGTAAATGTGCAACATCTTGGTTCCAGACCAACAAGATTGACGTTATGGAAGTGGCCAGCCCAATCTCTGGATCTTAATCCAAAAGAAAACTTGTGGGGTGACATCAAAAATGCAGTTTCTGAGGCAAAACCAAGAAATAGAGAAGAACTGTGGAATGTAGTCCAATCATCCTGGGCTGGAATACCTGTTCACAGGGGCCAGAAGTTGGTTGACTCCATGCAACACAGATGTACAGCAGTTCTCAGAAACAGTGCTTATACAACTAAATATTCATTAAGCGATTCAAAGGAAAGCAAAATCTTCCAACATTTTTCAGTTTATATAGTGAATGTTTGAGTTTGTAAAGAAAAATACAGTCTAATATTCACTTTTCTTCAAATTTTTTAGAGGAACAACACAAATTTGATCTATTTTTCTTCATGTTTTGATTTGGAATAGAATGTGTAGTGTTCCCAATGCATTTGTGTGTATGGAAATAAAAGCTATTAGAAGGATTTTGAGCTTTATTCACTTTTTTCAACACACCGCTATTATTTTGAACACAACTGTATGTGTGTGTATATGTGTATATATATGTGTGTATATATATATATATATATATATATATGTGTGTATATATATATATATATATATATATATATATATATACACTGATCAGCACATACATTATGACCACCCACGTAAACTGTTGAGGAAGGGACTCCATTAGACTTCTGAAGGTATGCTGTGGTATCTGGTGCTAAGCCTATCTGTAGAAGATCCTTTTAGGCCTGTAAGTTGGACCTCTATGGAGCGGACTTGTTTTCTCAGCACATCCTACAGATGCTTGATTGGATTGAGATCTGAAGAATCTGGAGGTCATGTCAACACCTTGAACTTGTGGTTGTGTTCCTCAGACCATTCTTGAATTCATCAGACCAGGCTGCCTTCTTCCATTGCTCCGTGGTCCATTTATGATGTTCATGTGCCCACTGTAGGCACTTTTGGCTGTAGACACAGGTCAGCATGGGCACCCTGACCAGTCTTAGGCTATGCAGCCCCATACAAAACAAACTGTGATGTGCTGTGTGTTCTGACACCTTTCTATCAGAACCAGCATAAACTTTTTCAGCATATTGCGCTGGAGTAGCACTTTTATTGGAAACAACTACACAGGCAAGCCTTCACTCCCCACGTGCATCAATGATCCTTGGTTGCCCATCACCCTGTTGCCAATTTGCTGGTTTTTCTTCCTGGGACCACTTTGGTAGTTCCTGACCACTGCAGACCAGGAACATCCCATACAAGCTGCAGTTTTGGAGTTGCTCTGACCCAGTCATCTATAAAATCGAAAAGTCTAAAAAAAACTTTTAGACTTTATAGATGACGTAGGAAGGCATAGGAATACCATTCAGAATGAATGGCAGCACCATGCATCTCGTAAGAGCAGTGCAATTTGTGGTGGTTGTGGGTGCGGAAACAGGTGCAAATCCTACACCAGCAACCAACCTGCAGAATGCAGGCAAGTGTGAACCTAGCCTCAAGGTATCAGTGTGGATTTTTTTCTGTGCAAGAATCTGAAATGTGTATGCTGTTTTCTATGCAGAAAAAAAATCTGAAATTACACCAACACTGTGGTGTGAACAGAGCACATAGCTGACGTGCATAAAAACTCTATGAAACACATTTGAAATTTGATGTCAACGGGCATAAAAACTCACTGAAACGCATTATAAAACTAATGCAAATTGATGTGAAACTGATGTAAACTCATATCTCTGCAAGTGAAATCTGCGTGGTTTTCCAGTTTTCATGCACATATGGTGTGAACAAGCCTAAACAGACCAAGCTATCCAGCAAAAGTGGCAGTTAGAAGGTTATAGATAAACCATTGAACATTGACAGGGGTGCTTACAATGGTCAGCTTTTATTAATTTATCTAAGGGCAGTTAAAACCAGAAGGCAGTGCAGGAAACCTATGTTCCATGCGTGTTTTCCATGTTTAAAACGCATTGCACTTTTGATCTGCAGCAGGTGTCAGTGTTAACTACACCTCTATCGCAGTGCCTGCACTACTACAGTAGTACCATGCAATGCAGTTTCTGTGTTTTGTAAAGTAGTGCAGGCACTACCAGGGGCAGACTGACCATGTGGAAACTCGGGCACTGCCCAAGGGCCCGGGGTCAGTAGGGGGCCCCATGAGATGCCTCTGGTACCTTTTTCATAGGCTTTTTTGAGTTTGGGCAAGGACACAGGGGCCCCATGATCCCCTATTGCCCGGGGGCCCCATGAGTTGTCAGTCTGCCCCTGGGCACTACTGTGATGGTGGAGGTGAACAGTAATGACTAGGTAACAACTAGGCCTCACTTAAAGTGTTCCTAAACCCAGGACCCTGCATTCACTATATCTGGTCTCTAATAGTACACACAACATGTAAATGCAATTATTTAAGTAAATATAAACTGCTAAATACCTTTTCTCATAAGCAGTATATAGCAGTCTTGTGTCTTCTATCAGTGTCCAGCTGAGCACTAGCTAAAGCTTGTAGGAGGAGTTTTCTTTCTGCTCTAGAAGGATGCAAAACCCCTGACCTCTGTCTGGACAGTGCTGATTGGCCCTGTGCTGAACACATGCACTATCCCAAGAGAAACAACCTCTCTAGCAATATACACAAAATTGAGCATGTGCATGGCTATGGTTCAGTCTGGAGATAAGAGGTGGTCACTTGAAAAAGAGGAGGAACAGAGAAAAAAGGATCAAACAGCCTTTTTATCCACTTCAAGTCCGGACACTTTCACCCCCTTCCAGTCCAGGCCAATTTTCAGCTTCCTGTGCTATCACACTTTGAATGACAATTGCGCGGTCATGCAACACTGTACCCATATGACTTTTTAGCATTTTTTGAGACAGATAAAACTTTATTTTGGTGATATGTATTCCCCACTGGGATTTGTATTCTTTTTTTTTTTGCTATATAAATGATAAAGTCCAAAAATGTTGAAAAAAAAGTGTTTTAAAATTTTGCAAATAAATAATCTTTCTTCATAAATCTTGGCCAAAATGTATTCAGCTATCTTTTTAGTAAAAAGAAAAATAGCCCAAATTAGTTTATAACCAAAAATCATATTTTTTTCAAAATTTTTGTTTACATTTTTATTTTATTTTTTTTATATTTTTTTTTTTTTAACATACTGTCACCCTATCAGTACAGTGTTACCATAGTGACACTGTACTACTTGGGGGTGATGAAGATTTTTTTTTTCTTTTTTATACACTGATTGCTTTTACACCCATGAAGGCTGTAAAAGTAATCATTTCTCCTCTCTGGCTGTATTCCTGCAGCCATTGAGAAATACTGTGAGAGCTGTGATTGGTCACAGCTTGTCACATGGTACTAGGCTGTTGTGAATAGCCCTGTACCATGTGAGCTCTGTGATCATTCACATATTTCACTAGTAGTAAGCAATGATGGCAGGAAGTAACATCTTGTTTACTACTATTCATGTGATCACTGATTGACCAATCAGTGATCACATGATTGGGACCTCACACAGAGGTCCCGTACAATGATCTGTGCTCTGCTGTGTCCTCCGGACACAGCGGGCACTGATCGCGGTGCCATGTGCTCCCAGGGAGTGTGCACAAGCAATGGATGTGGGGGGACGGTTAGAAACATCCCCCCGCATTGGCAGCACTCCCATTCGGCTGTTTATTTACATGGTGTCATGAACCGCCTGGTGGGATCTCTAGCAACCCGCAGTGCGGGGTTCCCCAGGGCGCGGAGTCTAAGTCCCAATCTGCTTGTTCACCAGAGCCCCTGATGGTGGGGATGGACTTGGAGCAGACTGAGACCAGGTCGCAACCCCTGAGTACGCCCGACTGTGGTAGAGGTAACTGCCAGAGGTGTGTAGAAGAAGAGAGCCTGATGTGAAGAGGCTAGCAGACCTGGGCAACAGGGACTGGATCTGTGCGGGATGCATGGATGACCGTGAAGCTATAGCGTAGTCAGACAGCCAGGTCAGCAACTAACAGGCAGGTAGGTACAGGAGGAGCAGGCAGAGAGTAGTCAGGTAACGAGCCAAGTTCAGCAACGGGAGATCCAGTAACTTTACGTCCGTGCGAACCTAAAGTACAGAAACCTAGAGGACAGAGGCTGTCCTCGACTGGAATGTGGGGGGGGGGGCACTGGAGACCATGGACCATTTTTTGGTCCAGTGCCCTTTCAATGCGGAGGTTCACAGGGGGGTAGGGGATGCCATTGGCTATCCCCGCCTCTCCTCGCCTCTCCTCTCTGTCTCTTCCTGAGCGGGTGTATGGCAACTTCAGAGTGAGGGAAGGTTTTGAGTTGTCTAAACTTTTTTTTTGTTAGCATAGTCACGCTTTTCTACACTTGGCACGCACGTTGTCTTCTGTCCACTAGGGACAAAATCCTGCCTGTCCAAGAGGTGGTGAGAGACACTTTTGGTGAGCTGGTGAAGGTGCTTTATCTGAAAAGGAGCAGGGTTGGGTCGGAAAGGAGTGCCCATTTATGGAGGGGTTTCCACTTCCAGCCTCCTTAAAGGTACCAACGCTGCCCCTTGTGGTGCTTGCTTGCTTTACTTTGCTTTGCTTTCTTTGTTCTGCTTGCTCTGCTTGGCTATCTATCCTTTCACTCGCCTAGATTTTGTACTCTCTGTTTTTGAAATAGGGCTGCAGACGTCTAAAGACTTACATGCTCTGCCTTGGCCTAGGTAGATTAGTGGTTTATATGTCAGGAACAAAACACCTGTGAGAATACGCAGCAGCCTTAGCCAGAAATAGGGACTGCGTATGATTTCTAGGTAGACTTCTTTCATCTTATTGTAGTAAGTAAGAAAGTCATTTATTTATGATGTTATGACTTATATCAACTGATAATAAGAAAAGCAAAGATAAACTGTAAGTAAGTAACAGTTTTTGTTTAATTATATTTCCAGCTCCATAACGGCCTTCACCAGGAGTAAGGGCTGTAAAAACACCCATTTATATGGCGGGCCGCTGTGAAGAAAATTTTGGAAAGCTTATTTGACCTCTTTGTAAATATTAATGACAGTATGATTTGTAATACAAATTAATGATATGACACATATTGCTAAACTGTATGACAGTAGCAGTTTTAAAATTAAAAATATTTCCAGTAACAAGGAGCAGACAGGAAAGTGGTCAGGACAAGCCAGGGGTCAGTGCAGGAGACGGTCAACAGGATCAGGATCAAAGCAGGGTCGGCAACAAAGGTACTTCACAGAACAGAGGAGCAGGAACAGGTAATGAGACCATACAGCAATTTACACATACCTATGGCTGGTTTAAATAGCGTGCCCTGCGCTGTCATTGGTGCCAGGCGCACGTCCGCGATCGCGAGTGCGCATGCGCGGCTGTCGCCGCTGTTGACCATGTCCTAGTGCCCGCCAGTTAACACGCATCGGCGTTCTGCGCATGCGCTGTCCCGTGTGCCACTGTGAGCCCAGGACTTTCTTACACATGGGCCAGATGGGAAGTGATTAAACAATGTAGATGATTAACCCCTTAGGTTCCACAGGAGTACAGCAAGCATGCTTTACTACATCTACAGACTGATTTTACTGTTGTGGGTTCAGTAACACTTTAACCTGTTCACGCCGCGAATGCAAATGTGCGACCTCCCGACATCTGGGCCTAGACGCCGAGCGGCCGCACATTTGCGTTGTATTAAAAAAGAACATATGTGCTGAGAGCGCGCGCCCTGCACGCTCCCAGCACACATGTCCGGTACTCACGGAAAGATCCCAATCTCCTCTTTCGATTGGGACCTTCCCCGATCATGTGACGGCGTGCCACGGCGGTCACATGATCCTAAACCCCGCCTCCCGGCTTTTGAAACCCGTAAAGGGCCAGGAGGCGCCAGCGCCAAGGGGTTAACAACATCTTAGCAACATCCAGGGAGGTGTGTAATGGCCTCTGCCTATAGTAAGGGCATTGTTCAACTTTAGTCAGAGCCACAGTTTGTTTTTCTCCACAGACACCCCTTACCCACATAGACAGTTTTTTTTTTTGTAGAGGTGAACTTACCCTTTATCTAGGAATTTGCTGTACTCTTTTACACTTGCTACTAACGTTTTTGTCAGTCCCTGAACCTTTTTTTGGGGGTTTGTAGTGATTGATATGCGCTGTCTGTCAGTAGAAGCAGATGGGGTCCTGATACGTCTTATACATAATAAAAGAGTACATTTATGACTGGAGGACTGCAGTTCTGTCATGCAGAGAGCGATGGACGCTTCCTGACTGCGTGCAGCGAGGAGCAGATGGAAAGGCCAGTCACACATGTGCCAAACTGTACCACAGGGCTCTAGCCATGCAACTCGCACACACAGCGCCACTGACTGCACAATGCCCTAGTGGGAATGGAGAGGAATTTGCACGAAGATGTGCCGGAGCAGCTGATGTCCCTCTGCCGGAGGTTGCCTGCAAACTTCAACCGTGCTAACTTTCCCATGATCAAGAAGTCACTGACAGGACAGCAAACTATTTGCAGCATTACTACTGATGGAGGGATTTCAAACCAACCCTTGTTTGGACACAGGGGTTGATTTATTAAGGCAAATAGACTGTCCATTTTGCAAGTGAATTTCCCCACAAATTAGTGGATGTTGTGAAAATTCACTTTGCAAAGAATACCCAATCACATGCAAGGAAAATTAAAAAAAAACAAATCATTTTCCTGTGCACGTGATTGAATTATTATTATTGTTATTATTATTATACAGGATTTACGTATATAGTGCCAACAGTTTGCTCAGCACTTTACAATATAACGGGAGACAATACAGCAACAATAAAGTTCAATACAAGAGGGATAGGAGGGCCCTGCTCCTTGGAGCTTACAATCTAGGAGGGAGGGGCTAGTGGTACAAAAGGTAGTAACTGTGGGGGATGGACTGGTTAGAAGAGTAGAAGATTCTATTATTAGCTGAGGGCAGGATAGGCTTCCCTGAAGAGATAGGTTTTCAGAGATTGCCTAAAAGTGAGCAGAGTAGGCGATAGTCTGATAAATTGGGGTAGAGAGTTCCAGAGAATGGGGGAAGCTCTGGAGAAGTCCTGGAGACGAGCATAGGAGGAGAAGACAAGGGAGCTAGGGAGTAGGAGGTCGTGCGAGGAACGGAGAGGACGGTTTGGGTGGTATTTGGAGACAAGATCGGTGATGTAATTTGTGGCAGAGTTATAAATGGCTTTATATGTTATTGTTAATGTTTTGAATTTTATCCGTTGGGCAATGGGAAGCCAGTGGAGGGATTGGCAGAGAGTGGAGGCAG